GAGTACACTTTCCACTTTTTGGTGAAAGTGTACAGTTTTTTTGGGCCTATGAACTCATCAACTAAGCCATATAAAGTGCCATGTACCATGAGAATCTGTAGGGTTCTGGCTCTTCGGTTTTGGCTATGAGTTTAGGCCGGGCTCCAGGACCAGTAGGCTACTGGCAGTTTCACCATAAGAAAGTAGCTATAGCGACGTTGGGTAATTAAGCCAACAGGGGACATTTTTTGTGAACCCTACTTTTTTGCCAGCCACCCTAGCAAGCCACCCTAAACCCCAAACCCTAAACCCCAAACCCTAAACCCTAAACCCTAAACCCTAAGCCCCCTGATCAGGAGGAGGGCGCTGCGCAGCGCCTGTCGCCATGCTCACCCGCTCAGCTCCGAAAGCTCCGACACAAGCAGCGGGATGACTACCTGATGGCCAGGCCGGGTCACTACAGTCCGCGGTTTAGGGTTTAGGGTTTGGGGTTTAGGGTTTAGGGTTTAGGGTTTAGGGTTTAGGAGGTTTAGGGTTTAGGGTTTAGGAGGTTTCGGGTTTAGGGTTTAGGGTTTAGGGTTTAGGGTTTAGGGTTTAGGGTTTAGGGTTTAGGGTTTAGGGTTTAGGAAACGGCCGTAGTTGCTGCCAGTCTGTTGGATCGTTGCAGTCACTGGGGGGAAGAAGATGTAAACGTTGCTGCTGCTTACGTTTACTAGGGGGAAACGACCACGGATGTAACCTCATCATGTGCAGAGGCGTACTTTGGCTAAGCGTTCCTTCGAGATTTACATGCTTTCGCAACACTTTCGTTGCTTCTGGAAACTGTAAAATTCATGCGCTCATTGGGGTAAGGGATGCCGTGGTGTGCAAAATACCTTTGCTTGAGCTCTCGGCTGGAACTGGTGACCACAGCTTACGCACTACTTACGCGAGCCTTACGCGAGCCTTATCCGCGCAGCTTGCGCGGAGGTGACTCGAAGACCAACGCTCGGCACGCGATTTTCGGTTGTGGGCGGCTCGCAGATCAACGCTCGCTGAGCGATTGTCGGGTGTGGGCTGCTCGAAGATCGACTGGAACTAGAATGCAGCTTTTCGCTGCGTTTAGATGGTGTTATGCATGAATTTTCGTGCATGTGGATGCGGTGTTTCGTTGCGTTTAGGTGGTATTTGACTTGGTTTTCGTGCATGTCGAAGTATGCCAAAAGTATGATGTCGTAGATGCATTGTTTCGCTGCGTTTACATGGTGTTTGGCATGTTGTTGGTGCATGTGGAAGGTTGCAAAAACTCACATGAAACCTGTGGCTGGGTCTTGCTTTCCCTCGGGGGAAAGGATTCCTCCAGTTCATGGTGGATAACATGTGTCCATGTCGTGCTGCATTTACTTGAGGGAAATTTTTGGCTGGGACTTTTTGGGGTCGTGGCTGGACCTGCGTTCCTTGGGGAGAAGGCATCCGGAGGCAAAGTGGATGGGACTACGGTGGATGATAAAAATCCTGCATGACCCCAGCCACCCACAGAACACGCTGCGTACACACATCCCCTGCGCACCCCTGAATTTCAGTGTTGACTAGGCGCCTGGGGTCATGCAGGATTTCAATGATTCGCGCTACCGGATTTCTCGGACTGGATTCCCGGTCAATGTTAAAATTCAGGGCGGCGGGAGGGTTGGGTTGTCTTCGAAACTCATGCAGGATTTCCAGCATCAACAGTACGTACCTAGGTGCGTTCTCTCGCAAGAAGAGCAGTTGGTCTCGCTCGCCCGCTTTTTTTCTGCGTCAGAGACGCTTGCAGGCGTTGGCTGGCACGGGGACGTTGTGCCTTCGCGCTCTAGCGCACGAGGTAGACCGATGTCACAGGTCCTCATCGTCGACTTCCACTCCTCCCACCTGGCGCTGGCGCCGCGCTGCGTATGCAGCTGCGTTGTCAATGATGAATCTGCACCAGGATTCGCGGCAGTGCGGGATGGGCTCCAGCTGCCCTTGGATGACCACGTGCGCATCGAATTGAATGACGCGCGATTGCATGTGTCGGACATCCTCACGCGTCACTGGGCTTGTCACATCCCACAGTCCGTCCAGAGGAGCTGTCAGAGCGGCCCCACGACACCACCTAAAGTCTGGATTGCCGTCGTGGTGCGCCTGGGATACCTGGATCCGGAAGTACTGCCCAGCGAAGAGCTTCTTAAAAGTCACTGCTGGGACAGTTGGCGCCTTGGGCGGTCGTGAGGCAAACTCTGTAGGCGAGAACTCATCCCAATAGATGAATCGCAAGCGCGTGTTGGTCGCCAAAGAACTCAAAGCCATCGAGGCACCCTGCGCTGGGCAGAAATCGATGCCTTGCCGCCCAAAGACCTGGATGACGGGGTCGAAGATGAGACTCTTGCCCGCATTCGTGGCCCCAGCCAGCAAAGGGACCCGTGCTGTCTTGCTGGGGCCGTGTTGGATGACATTGGCAATGCTCGCAGCGAGCAGGCCTGGGTCCACCGTCGCCTGGTTCCTGCGGAAGAAATCCCGCGCTGCCGCCAGCCACTTGCAGTTCCATTGCAGCAGCAGGACCCACTTGCGAGCCGATGAAGCAGCGCCCAATCCGTTTCTTGCTCGAGCACATGCTGCTGCCTGGCATCCCTCCACGCCTGTGCGCCCGAGATGAGGTCCTCGAGGCGCTTTTGGTTCCGCACGCAGTACAGCTGCGCTGCATGGGAGCCATGCTCCTGGACGTACGCCATGACGGCGTTGGGGGTCCAGAGACTCTTCTCCAGAACCAGGGCCGTGAAGTCCAGCGGGGTGAACTTGTCCACCTTTGCCTTCTTGCCAGTTGCCGAGGCCACCATCTGGCCGCCAGCTGCCGCTTCCGCCTTCTGCCGGCGCTTGGTCCAGACAGCAGCATTGAACGGTTCCTGCGCTTCTTCATAGAGGTTGACAGCGACCCTGTCCGTTCCTGCCACCTTGTGCTCCAGGCACTGCCCAGGACCAGCCTGCACCGGCTCTAGCGCCCCGCCTGCCTTCACCCACACTAGTGGCTGCTGGTCAACGACGGGCTTGTGCTCTGTGGCAAAAACACCATACCGGACTGCGCTCCACCACTGCGTGTGCGACGTGCTCCAGTGGGATGCGAGGCCGGACCGCTGACGCAAGGACATCTTCAACGGGAGGAAGCGCGTGATGGCATTCAGCCGCAGCGCAACATGGAAGTGGCGAGGCTCCTCAAGGAAGACCACCAGCTTCTGTGGCTCCAGCGACTTCGACCGAGGACGGCCACCTTGCTGGGATGTCTCCTGTGTGGGATTCGCCACGGCATCCAGAACGGCATCCTTGATGTCTGCACGTGTGAGGTCGGCTAGAGTCCTGAGTGGTCTGTCCGCCTTCAGCGCAGTCTCTTCCAAGATGCCAGCAAAAGTGATGAGGAAGACGAGGCTTCGCGCGGAGGCGTCTTCCGTCGTTAGCCAGTCTGGCTTTGGCTCCGCCACCTCCACCTCCTCCTCGGAAGACGACGAGGATGACTGGGAACTGGCCATGGCGTCTGCTTCTCGAGCCACACGTGTGGCGGTGTGGTGGCAAAGGCTCGCAGACCGGGATAGGCTTCAGGCTTTGGAACCAACACCAGTAGTGCGGTGCTGCCGACCTCCTGACTGTGCAAGGCGGGCAAGCGACCTGGGCCTGGGCTCATTGCGGGTGCTACCGACCTCCGCACTGCGCGAGGCGGGCAGGCGACCTCTGAAACAACCGCTCGCTGCAGTTCAGAAAGAAGCGCGGCCAGTGTCTGAGATGCTCCGCTACCAGACTCGTCGCGGGCGCTACCCGCTCTGTGGGCAAGCCATGCGACCTCTGAAACAACCGCTCGCTGCAGTTCAGAAAGAAGTGCGGCCCGTGTCTGAGACGTCTGTGGGCAAGCCATCTGAGAGGACCGAATAAAGCGCATCTCTTTGTGGGGGGGGTTGGGGGGGGGTTGGGGGGGGGGGGGGGGTGGGTTGGGGGGAGGGGGAGGGGGGGGGTGGGGGGGTGGGGGGTGTGGGGGGGGGGGGGGGGGGGGGGGGGGGGGGGGGGGGTGGGGGGGGGGTGGGGGGTGGGGGGGGGGGGGGTGGGGGGGGTGGGTGGGGGGGGGGGTGGGGGGGGGTGGGTGAAGGGTCCATTTCCAAACTCCCCACCCCATTTACAAACCATTTACAAACCATTTACAAACCTATTTACAAACCCATTGTACGGGCTCCTACGCGGGCACAAAAACGAAATCCTCCAAGAAAAGCTTCCACTTTCCAGATTCTGCGCACCCCTCTCAAACGAGCTTCACAAAGGCTTTGAAAAGGAGTTTGTAAATGAGTTTGTAAATGGTTTGTAAATGGTTTGTCAATGGATTGTAAATGGCAAACCCACCCCCAACCCCGCCCCACGCCCCACCCACGCCCACCCCACCCCCACCCCCCACCCCCACCCCCCCCCAGCCCACCCCTCCACCCCCCCCCCCCGCAACCCCCCCGCCCCCCCCCCACCCCCCCCTAACCCCCCCCCCCCCCACCCCCCCCCCAACCACCCCCTCCCCCCACCCCCCCACTCCACCCCTCCCACCGAACCCCCTCGCCCCGCGTTGCCCCCATGTTCTACCAGCGCTCCACAACCGATGGCCAAGGCGGACGTCGCGCAAGCCGACACCATGCAGTAACGCTCTCAGGGCAGGCAGCGCGGACATGCGCGGCTGTCTAGTTATGCTCACACAACCGAAACCGAAGGCGGACGTTGGCACCACGCACTCGCCACGTGTACACACATAAGTCGACAGTAGGATCGCCTTGGTTTGGCAGCCTCTGCTGCGCATCTGTCACACAATCAAAAGACAGTTCCCAGTTCCAAAGCTCCTGCCCCCAACAACTTTCCATCCTGCAGGTCCAGACTGCGCGGATCAGTTTCGGCCCTTTTTTTGCTGGTGGGCAGCTCCAGTCCCAGCGCACGCCGGCGCAGACTTGCACGGCCCGAGCGTGGCATTCTGCCTGCCTCGAACCGAACCCAGAAGAAAGCACAGCCATTGGCTAGCGTCCAGAACCTCCCTCCTCGAAGAAATGCCCCTTAGCTTCATAGAGCCTCTGGCAGCGACGAACCATGTCCCCGATGCTCTTCACCAGGAAGTCCTTCGAGAGGTTGCGGATGGTGCGCTTCAAGCGCGCAACATAAGCCGGCCGCCCCTCCCGCTTCTTTTTGGGCCAGGATTTCTCCTGCCGGCGCAGACGCTTGTTGACCTCCTTCCAGACTGCGTAGTCGAGCAGGGACAGGTCGGGGCTGCGTTTGGGGATTTCGAAGACGGAGATGCCCTCTTCAACCTTGGCCGCAACACCCTTGGCAGACTTGTAGCCGGTCGGGTCGTTGTCCTCCAGCACTGTGTACTTCCGCTTCGCGGGCCACGTCTTGGACAAGCCGCTACGCAGAGCCTTGTAGAAGGTGACCGCAGCCTGCCCATTCCAGCGCGCCTTGACCTCATGCACAGTGACAACATGCCCTCCACCAATGCCAACCTGGACAGGGAAGGACACGAAGACACTTGGATGAGTCACGCAAGGCTCGCCCGCAGCACTCTGGATGCTTGAGGCGGACTACAGAGAGCTGGCACCCCTACAGTCAAGGAGGCAGTCGCGCGACTGTTTCGGCAGACCCGGCCTGGAGAAGCACACCTTTGGCGCCCGTGTTGTGCCGCAGGCTCCCTGCCTTCGGCTTGACATAGCCTGCGCAGAGGCCCTTGCCAGGACGGCGGTAGGCGCCGAAGGTGCCATGGGTCGCCGCTCGGGCTCTCTCCTTGCCGGTGAGGTAGACCTGGAAGTACTTGCCGTCAATGAAGGCGTGGATGTTGCGCAGCCACCATGTTTTGGACTTGCCCCGGTACTTCTTGGCAAACGCGAGCCGGGCCTTCACATCGGCTGGGGTGAGGACTGGCTTCTCGCGCAACTTGCGGAAGTAGATGTTCCGCTTGTGCAACGCGGCCAGAATGGTCTGCGTGCTTGCCTTCACCTTGGTGGCTTTCCGCAGCTTGTCCACAGTGATGGTGGACTGGCCATCGGCCTTCACGATCAGCTCGTCCAGGCGGCGCTCCAGCATGTCCACCTGCGCGTTTGTGAGCGCAGCGGGCCTGCCTTGCTTCTGGGCCACCTTCTGCATGCAGAGCAGGCGAGTGAGGGTAGAGGAGTCACGACCCAGCAGCTCCGCGATTGCGGACGGAGGCTTCCAATCGGAGTACCAGCGCTGGGCCAGCTCCCGCTCCGAGGCAGTCATCTTGACCCATCCCGCATCAGGCATGCTGGCGAGGCAAGGCAGGATATGTACAGGGCACGTGAGGAACTGGCTCGAACTTGGGGCTGCGGATCTGCGCGGCCACAAGTCAAACGCACCCGACGGCCAAGGCGGCCTTCACGCAAGTCGGCACCATGTACCGCGGGGGATTTGTTTGGAGCCCTCTTCGCGAGACGGTGGATGATAAAAATCCTGCATGACCCCAGCCACCCACAGAACACGCTGCGTACACACATCCCCTGCGCACCCCTGAATTTCAGTGTTGACTAGGCGCCTGGGGTCATGCAGGATTTCAATGATTCGCGCTACCGGATTTCTCGGACTGGATTCCCGGTCAATGTTAAAATTCAGGGCGGCGGGAGGGTTGGGTTGTCTTCGAAACTCATGCAGGATTTCCAGCATCAACAGTAGGACCACCCGCTGTAGTGTTTAGGGTTTAGGGTTTTGGGGGGTTGAACTGGCACAAACGAATTCGAAAGAGCTTCACTGCCCCCATCCCCTCCATCCCCTCCATCCCCTCCTGCCCCTCCATCCCCTCCATCCCCTCCTGCCCCTCCATCCCCTCCATCCCCTCCATCCCCTCCATCCCCTCCATCCCCTCCATCCCCTCCATCCCCTCCATCCCCTCCATCCCCTCCATCCAACACTTATATATGGACAGTTGGCAGTCAATCTCTCGGAGCTTGCGAAGCAGGGAGGGGTTAAAAGGATTTCGTGTTTGGGGTTTTGGGCTCACAGTTGAACGCGGATGCCACGCACAGAAATGCGAATACTTGCATCTTGATGCGTTCAGCCGTACATTGATTCAGTTGGAAAAGATACTGTAGGAAGCTGGGAGAAAGAGGGTTTGGGGGGAGATTCCTTCAAACTACGGAAGTATCGAGCCTGCAAGCTCTCTCCACTCAACCGTTTAGCCACGCCATGTAGATGTAGGTGAGGGGCATGCAGGCTACTGGAAGCAAGATCCTGATGTGAAGAGGTCTTAGAAGAGTCCATATGTCGAGATGGCCAGTGCTTCTCCGCACATCCCCTTAAAGATGTGCAGGCCAGGGAACTGGCATTCCTGATCGTCAATACGTTTCACCTTCAATAACCATAAACCCTAAACCCTAGTAAGACTTAAGGGCAAATGTCGAAAATGGGGGTCCCTTTAAGGGGATTCCTTTCTATTTGGGGTACAAAGGGGGGTACCCCAATTAACATGTGAATGATCCGGGATCTCTCAGACCATCCTCCTACACGTGCAGTATCTTAGGGTTTAGGGTTTAGGGTTTAGGGTTTAGGGTTTAGGGTTTAGGGTTTAGGGTTTAGGGTTTAGGGTTTAGGGGTCGGAAAATAGGGTACCACACACTTCACCTTTGCACGCCAGACCCATACCAGAGCCGCATCTCATCTCACTTTCTAGTCATGACATGTACAGTGCAGAAGTTGACGGAATGCAACTGTCCAGTGACCATCCGCGTGCCTTGAACAACACGTCTCAAATCTTCCACTGATCTGTCTTTCACCAGGTGGCTACTACTATTCGTGTCGGAATGATTACGAATAGCATGCCCCCATGGCAGCTATATGTAATTATACTATAAGAACCGCAAAACCGTATTGCATTGTTATACCCGGCCATATTTGCTGCACACTCGTCTGCACGAATCACGCGAGCAGAGCCGAAGATAGCACGGACAATTTGGTTTCCATCAACATCCGTTTTCAAACATGAGGGCCAGGCCACTTGGGCTGTGGACGTCATGTGGGAAGTATAGTGGGGTCAGTATAGTGGGGTCGGAATAATTGCGAATAGCATTCCCTTAGGGTCCCTTTATACTTATACTGTACTAACCCCTAAACCCTAAACCCTAAACCCTAAACCCTCGGCAAGGATTCTTGTGAGGGATAAGATCCTTGGCATCAAGCACCTGGCAAACCAGCAGCACAGTGAGCATGGCGTCGGCGGCCGCTCGTATGCTTTTAGGGGTTTGGGGTTTGGGGTTTAGGGTTTAGGGTTTAGTGTTTTTACTCCAACATCCCGAATCCCTACCTGCAGGCTCTGTTCCTTTTTTCGGGCTAGTCAAAGGGGTATTATGCTACCCAAGAAAGGAACTACGTGAAAGCCTTGGGGGAAATAAATGCTCCGTCTTGCTGACGCAGGGCCGGGGAGTATAGGTACACATAGGGTTTAGGATTTAGGGTTTAGGGTTTAGGATTTAGGGTTTAGGGGTTTGGGTTCTCAGGGGTTTCTTGGTGGTTCGTGGGTAACTCTGCATGGCAGGGTTTAGGGTATCTGCTTGTAGCCTTACCTACGTACTTCTAAGCCGACAAGACAAGAATGAAGCTGACCTGACATTCCTTTGCCTGCAACCCTAAACCCTAAACCCCAAACCCTAAACCCTAAATCCTAAACCCTAAACCCTGTGTGTTAGAAAAAATGCCCAAGTGCATCCATGGGCCGGAGCATCGGGTCCCCAGGATGAGCAGGGACCCTCGCCCTTCTCAGGGTGAAGGGTTTAGGGTTTAGGGTTTAGGGTTTAGGGTTTAATCCCTTTCCCCTTTTTTCCAACGTACCCCAAATAATAAAAACATGTTTCGGAAAAATCCTGCCGAAACCGACCCCGCCTTTTAAACCCAGGCTCCCAAACCCTCAACCCAACCACCCTAAACCCGAAACCCTAAACCCTAAACCCTAAATCCTACCCTCAAGCCAACCACCATCCTCAAGCTCCTGCGTGGAGCTCCCTCTCTGCGCTCTCAGGGTTTAAGTCGTTGCGGAAACCCTCCAAAGCCTGAAGCCTAGACCCCAAACCCTTCGGACCCCAATCATGAAGTTTGGATAAAAACCTCCCCCCTTAAACAACAAAACACACATTTGGAGTTTCTTTTGGGGTGGGGGTGGGGACCCCCCCATATTGGCGGGAAGGGATGAGGGTTTAGGGTTTTGGGATTCTTGGTGGCTTGCCACCTTCACCTCTTGGCTTGGTGGCCCAGAGGTGCCCTTTGCCCTTGTTTTTTGGTTCAGGGTTTCCTGATAAAGTAAGTAGCCACCCAAGAAAATGGTGCCCTTATAACAAATGGTTACTGGGCTACCAGGATCTTCTCACCAGAGAGTCCACTTATAGTTCTATAATTATGGAAGTAGGTACCCGAAACAATACACAAGGGGTTTTGGGGTACCTGATCCCTGAATAAAAGCATAAGTGAACCCCCCCGGGGTTTCATTGTGTGAATATGAGGTATAGGGTCTATATCATTTGTTGCTCTTTGGTGAGTGCATATAGGTTTCTGTGGGATTTTGCTCATGCAGTATATGTGTTTGTTAATATATATAGAGAGAGAGATTTTGGGTTGCCTATGGGAATACCAGATGAAGACCTCCCTCGACCGATCATGTGCGCCTTTCTGGCATCATGCTGAGTTAAGCGCATTGACACTCTCAGCAAAGAAAGTTCCACATTAGTGGCACCGGCAAGAATGAAATTATTTAACAATCCCCCTCTTCTCGTGTGTCTAACGCGCTCTCCCTCCGTAATATGGCAAATCTTCACGCAACCCTAATGATGTCCCTGATGATGTGAGTGGCACAACGGTAGGCCGCAGCCATGGCAGATACAGGTGCAGATGATGGCATGAACAACGCTTCTGTTGCTGCCAGCCTGAGTCTGGATGACAGCTTGAGTAACAGCTTTCTGGAGGAGCAGGCTGACCTCGACAGAATGGAGCAGATCATGACACGGGTCCTTTACACCATGAGGCCAGCCAGGCCCGACATTGTGCGCGCAGTACGTGCCCGGCGCGCTCTTTGGTGCTGCGGCCGCGCTTTCCGCGGCGGTGTTCCTGGATCGTTCCATGCAAGCTTTCCGACTGGGGAGATAGATGCTAGTATGGCCTTGGAGTATTTTTCATTTTTCGTATATTTGTTGTGAACACTTGCCCAATAGCTTTAGCATCGGTCTCCTGTCCAAATTAATTGAGGACTGGGCAGATTGGGGCGGGCACCGGGGCAGGCTACGGGGTGGGTTCCAGGGCGGGTCTCAAAGGCAGGTTGCGGGGCTGGTTCCACGTGACTCTGGCGCCATTCTGCGCATTCGAATTGTGCTATGAAGCATCCTGAAACTGTTCTGCAAGCTAGCCAAGTGCCTTGTGCGAGCTTCCAAAAAACACGTTTGGCACCGTTCTGCGCAAAGAATCGAAAAGCACAAGCTCGGTTTGGATCTGGTTCCGGGGTCTAGCCAGATGCATTTGCCGGGTATCCACAAAAAAGAACGCGCGTGGCACCGCTCTAAGCAGATTCCAACCGTGCGACGCTCGAAAGCCAAGCTTGGAATGAACCTGCTTCCGGGGCTTGTTTTCTGCGCTTCCAAACCAGGATGGGCTTTTAGGCCTTAAAGTCCTCATAATGAACCCTATAAAGGGCCTTTTAAGGGATTATAGGGTGTAATAGCCCATCCCGGAAAGCGCATTCGGCACGGCGCTAACGTCCAGCTTTGCTTGAGAGGCAAGCTTTACCCGACTCTCGATCCGAAACCTGGTGCCGGATGCATGTTTCGGCTCCCGAAACATGTGGCGCCGTTCTGCGAAACTCCAACGTCAAAACCAAGCTTGGCCTGAACTTCTGGTTCTGGAACAGATGGAACATATACATATATATACACATAAAAATATAGATAAATATAAATATCTGTATATATAGCCAGATGCCGCGTCTGGCCTTCCAAAAACTGTTCCGTGCAGTTTCCAGCGCCAACCTTCAGCGCTTGGCTCGAACAGCAAGCTTGGGTTTGAAAGCTGGTACTGCACCCTGAACCCCAAACCCTAAATCCAAAACCCGAAACTGGTACTGCACCCTGGCCAGGTGCATTTTTTGCGCTTTCAAGCACCGCATTCCGGAAATTAAGGTGGCTTGAGTTTGGTTCCGGGCCCCCTTGCCAGATGCGTTTTCCGGATTTCCACCAAACCGCATATGGCACAGCTCGAAGCAAGCCCTAAACCCTAAACCCTAAACCCTAAACCCTAAACCCTAAACCCTAAACTACGCTTGAACAAGAAGGCTGGCTTGAATCTGATGTGCCGGCCGAAGCAGATGCACAGGCCGAACCTTGCACACATGCATTTGGCACGGTTCGTTGCGCCAATTCCCAGCTGCCAGCAGCTTCGCATGAAAACCAAGCTTCCCCTCCAAACCCTAAACCCTAAACCCTAAACCCTAAACCCTGAATCTGGTTGTGGGGCCAAATAAGACAGAAGCAACTTCTGGGCCTCCTCCAAACACGCATTAACTTCGTGGCTGAGTGAGCACACTTTACCCTAAACCCTAAACCCTAAACCCTAAACCCTAAACCCTTTACACTTGTTGGGATACTAGAATCCCCTACAGAACTGAAAGTGTACACTTTTTTGGGCCTGATGAACTCAGCAACTAAGATTAAGCAACACCCTAAATGGTGCTCAAGAACTTGCCATTTTGCAGCTTCGCGTTGCTCAAGACTAAGCTTCTTCTACGTAGAGGGTTTAGGATTTAGGGTTTAGGGTTTAGGGTTTAGGGCTTCCAAACCAGCATTGTGGCACCACTCTGGGGGCAATTCCCACTTTGCGTGTCGCACGAATCCCATGCAAGCACGGTTCCGGATCTGGAGGCCGGCCCATATGCATTTTCCGGCCTGGTTTTGCGCATTTTCCCAGTGGTCGTAAGAGAGGAAATTGGCCTCAACCACTTCGTTCTGCAACCGAAACAGGGGCAGATGACAGTCGCAGCTTTTTGTTCCAGTGCCAAGAACGTATTCGGCGTCATTTTTGCGCAGTTTCCAGCTATGTTTCGTGGGAGAGCCAAGCTTGTCTTGAAGCAGTTTTTCGCGCAGCCCCAAGGCCCCAAGGGTTTGGGGTTCAGGGTTTGGGGTCCTTAATAGGAATTATGAAAGGGGGGGGGGGGGGTAAGAAGCTGGAACGGATGAGAAAGACCGGGAGCCAAGGTCGCAGGGGGCAAATGACAAAAGCACAGCTGTACAATTTTACGCGTGTGCATGAAAGCATACTGCTGTTGGGCATATCGCGCCAGTGCATTTGCGCAATTGCCAACTTAGGATGAGTTTTGGAGCCATAGTTGGCATGGCGAGAAGCGCATCAAGATAATGACCGCGTTGTTCCTGAACAATGGAGCTATTGCGCCAGTGATCGCCACAGTGTTCGCGATCGTTGCCACCATCCTTTTCATCGTCGGCGTACTTCCAATGAAGTTTTCTGGAGGTTATGATGTCTCCTTACCACAGTATCCTATGAAAAGCTATTGGGGCAAAGCTGTGGGTCTGGTGGCCTTTTGTGTGTGTCTCTTTTGCTGGCAGCCAGGGAGAGCGATCTTCATGGATGTCATGTGCATCAATCAGGATGACCCGAAATCCAAAGCCTTGGCGCTGTTCAGTAATTATGCCAGCAGTCCTGAAGGCCACAAAGTCTCTGGGTTTAGGGTTTAGGGTTGAGGGTTTAGGGTTTAGGGTTGAGGGTTGAGGGTTTAGGGTTTAGCGTTTAGGGTTTAGGGTAGCGGTCCTGAAGGCTTCAAAGTCTCTGCTGGTGCTATGGGATCCCTCCTACACTCAGCGCCTCTGGTGTTGCTTTGAGATCGCTGTTCCTGGGCTTAGGGTTTAGGGTTTAGGGTTTAGGGTTTAGGGTTTAGGGTTTAGGGTTTAGGGTTTAGGGTTGCTCTGGAATGCAAACTCACTTTCTACAAGAAGGATATGCAGTTATTATATGGGGGTTTCAAAAATGAAGGGTACCTTAGTAGGGTCTTTATTTTCAAGGAATCCTACTATTTGGGTCGATATCAGGGTTCCCTAATTCTCGTAAGCTCCCATATCTTGGTAGCCCAGTGGTACCCTTAACCCTTGTTTGGTTCTGGGTTCCTTTTTTAGAAACCAACCCAAAAAGGGCCGCCCCATTTCTAACATGGCTACTGGGCTACCAAAGCCTAAACCCTAAACCCTAACCCCGAAACCCTAAACCCTAAACCCTAAACCGGAAAACCCTAAACTCTAAACCCTAAACTCTAAACCCTACACGCCTTTATTTTGGTAGCTTGTTCCGAGTTCCTGAACACCAAGCCAAGGCTTTCTTGCGGAGCCGCGGAAGTGGGGAAAAAGCAGATGTAAGAGTCAGGCCTACACTGCTTGGCCCTGTTTCTAGATTGGCTGTTGGGATTTGTTTCATTTTTCCTTATTTGGGTTTATAAAACCTATAGGTTTAGGGTTTAGGGTTTAGGGTTTAGGGTTTAGGGTTTAGGGTTTAGGGTTTAGGGTTTAGGGTTTAGGGTTTAGGGTTTAGGGTTTAGGGTGCCCTAGAAGCCCCAAACCCAGGTGTTCGTCTCACTGCCCATTGCTTTGGCCATCACTCAACTCGGCATCTCTGTCGACCTTGGGTAAAGGTTTAGGGCTTGGGTTTATAGGGTTTAGGGCATTTACCTTAGGGTTGAGGGTTTAGGGCTCTTGCTGCAAGAAGTCTTAGTACGGTAGGTTTCCCAAAATCATGCACCCGGTGATTTTAAAGGGTGGCGGCTCCCCAGGAATATATATATATATATATATATATACGTAGAGAGAGACAGAGAGAGACCCAACAGTTCATATCTGTGTATATATTTTTTTATTTAGTATATTTATTTATTTGTTTATTCTTCATCATTGCTGCATGTCTCTTAGCTTCGTCTTGATCGGGACCATCGAGCAGGGATCCCCCTTTACTGCCAGATATGGAACTTCCCTCTGCTCCAGGTATGGGCTTCGTCCCACTCACTTCAGAGGAGGGCAGTAACCATGCAGTGATTTGGCCGATGATGGTGGGGTCTTCGTTTTGCGGATTTTATTGGAGCGTGGCCAAACTACGTGAGTTTTTCCGGTCTGTGGATTCGCTTCATCGTGAGCTGCAGCAGTTTCGATGCGGCGACTGTCTGTGCTATTGCTGTTCCGTTGGCCACAGAACGAAAGCTGGGAGGAAGATGGCATGTGATCGCCGAATCCTGCTTTCGTGCATAACTCTCTGGTTTGGCAGCGCTGAGAACTTTGACACTCTCGTGCGCTGTGAAGTTCTGACCTGCCTTACCGAGCAACTTTCGTCACAGGTTCTGACATACAAGCAGTTTGCAGTTATGGCGGTGCCTGTTGTCTGGCACCACCTTGACACTATGTCCGACCCTCTAGAATGGGCACTCAACCCGGCGCCAGGGCACAAAGTGCACCTGCGGTATGAGATACTTATATCTTCTCTGGAGATAGTCCGAGGAATTGGCTGGGCATTTGGGTTGTTGCCCATCATTTTCTTTGTGACCGCCAAGCTCACATGTTGCTTGGGATAGATTTTCGTTTGTCTTCCTTCCTTCCTTCTTTACACGGGAACCAACACAAGCAAATGTTCAAAAGCTTGAACCCTAAACGGACCCTAAACCCTTTAGCCCTGAAATTAAACCCCTAAACCCTTACAAAACCCTTATACAGCCTTATAAAAGCCCGATTTAAAACCCTTATGAAACCTTATAAACCCTGATAAACCCTTAAACCCCAAAACCCAACCCTAGAAAGCTTGAGCCCTAAACGAACCCTAAAACCCTAAACCCCTAAACTAAACCCCAACACCCTTAATCCCCAAAACCCCCAACCCTGAAACCCTAAACCCTATAAACCCTAAACCCTGGAGCACAGTTCAGGTTGGTTGCGGAAGAGAGTCGGCCAGTCTGCATGCGCGCAGATGTGCGGAGACATCTTGGTCAACTGCTCGATCATGACCGCGGTGACTTGGAGAGCGTTAGGGTGTTCGGGTGTTAGGGTGTTAGGATGCTAGGGTGTTAGGGTGTTAGGGTTTAGGGTTTAGGGTTTAGGGAATCATTACCCCTGCGACGGGGAGAGTGAGTGGGAAAGGGATCAAGGGGTTGAGGGTATCACCCTTATGCCCTCTTCCATAGTCATGCTCCAGTTCCCTTGTCTTAAGCCCTTTATTACATACAAAAACAGGGCACGCTTTGGATTCCTATGTTGAGCTGGGAACCAAGACCCCAAAACCCTACCTAGAGCAACCCATATACCCGAACAAAAAGGCATCTGTACCTCATTTACCCTTTTTTTGGTACAAGGTTACTCTAACCCCTAAACCCTAAACCCGAAACCCTAAGCCCTAAATCTAGGTGACAATGCTCCTCGTGGCCGCCTTGGCGTTAGAGACGGTGCCCTTCAACCTTAGCTCCTTGGAGTTTAGGGTTTAGGGTTTAGGGTTTAGGTTTTAGGGTTTAGGGTGTTTTGCGCGTAAGCATTTTTATTAGGTTGGAGGCGGGCCTACGAGTTGTGGAGGGTTAAGCTTTTTCTGCCTAGGGTTTAGGGTTTGGGTTTAAGGTTTACGGTCTAGGGTTTAGGGTTCAGGGTTTAGGCTGTAGGGTTTAGGGTTCAGGGTTTAGGGTTTAGGGTTTAGGGTTTAGGGTTTAGGGCGAACTGATTTTGTCTTAAAGGTGCCGTGGAGCATGGCCGATTTGGCTCAGTCATAGCGATGGTCATCTTTGACGTGATCGTCCTCCTTTGTGCCAGGCTGCTGTTGAAGCTTAGTCGTTTAGGGTTTAGGGTTTAGGGTTTAGGGTTTAGGGTGTCGTAGTGTGGGTAACCTTTAACCTTTTTTGGGGTATTCCAATCCCTATAAAATCCCAAAGATTCACCTTTACTCAGGTCTCTGGACAACTAAGGAAGTGCATTCCTATCAAGGTGCGCTTTCCAGCCCAGACGCTCAACTGTCGAACCCCACCACTTTGAAGCGTTTTGGCTTTTCTCTTGGGCTTCTGCAACATTCTACAACATCATACCCCGAAGGTTTAAGTTGCTGTTTTTGGAGAAGTCAAGGACACCATCGCCTGTCGCGCGGGCCTCCGATATGGCACACACGAGCTCAGTCGTCGAAATCAATGTTTCTTTTGTGAAGAAACACGAATATTTCTGGGCAACTTCTACTTTACCCAGAGGCTCCTATGCAGTACCGTTTTGGGGTAGTATACTAGAATCCCCTATAGCGAACCCAAAAAGGGACTACATTAGAGACTCCAGGTAGTATTCCCTATGGCAGCTCAAGTTTCTCCTTGGGTGCTGAAAAAAACATAAGGACAGGCTTGCCGTATGCAGAGGCTGCTGACATGGATGCATCCCCTGAACGGAGCTTACAGCAGGGCACCGTGATCAGTCTGTAGATGGTGTTACACAAGGCTGGTTTCTTGCCCAAGTATATATATATATATGTATGTACGTATATATATATATATATGCATATATACATGTATGTTTATATGCATGTGTATGTATGTGTTGATATATATATATATGTGTGTATGTATATATATATATATATATACATAGAGGTTTCACCTAATGCACAATGTTTGCCCCCAACTCTGTCAGAGTTTCCTCGCAAAGGCTAGAACCTTTCAACCACACGCAGCACTTGTTCACCCAGCCCTTCCTTGATTCCAGTGTTCCCCTGTTCATTCCCAAGTCCTCCCTCATCCCCCATCAAAACCTCAACTAGACAGCCAGGGGCCCGTCTCACAAGCTGGTCAAAGCACAGCGGATGTGGCCAACTCGAGCGCCCCCTCCCCCCCCTCCCCCCCCCCCCCCCCCCCCCCCCCCCTCCCCCCTAGGGTTTAGAGTCCAGCTGCAGATCTCAGACTCTGCTTGTCGTATGGGAACAGCTTCCGAGCTAGTCGCGGATCAGGGCTCTCAACCCTGAGCACCCCCCGTCCTAAACCCTAAACCCTAAACCCTAAACCCTAAACCCTAAACCCTAAACCCTAAACCCTAAACCCTAAACCACCAAGGTTCTGCTAAAACACCCTAAGCGGGTTTCGAGTGTTGAGGGTTGAGGGTGTTAGGGACTCGGTCCCCCCTACCCCTAAACCCTACAATGCTAAACCCTAAAAACTGTATCCCTAAACCCTGGGCCTTAAACCCTATAACCCTAAATCCTATATCCCTGACCCTAAACTCTATATCCCTAAGCCCTAAACCCTAAACTCTGGATCCCTAAACCCTAAGCCCTCTAAGTTGTTATCGGCCTCTCTCTTCACCCTAAACCCTAAACCCTAAACCCTAAACCCTAAACCCTAAACCCTAAACCCTAAACCCTAAACCCTAAACCCTAAACCCTAAACCCTAAACCCTATCCCTTCTCTCTTCTCCAGGCAACCTTTGGGGCGCGGCGCTGGTGTTGTGTCGATTCCTCGCCGCGCCCTCGCGTCCCGCGGGGAGGCGCGGTGTGGGTTTGGAGCCCAAGATTCCTTATAAGGAAGGTTTAGGGTTTAGGGTTTAGGGTTTAGGGTTTAGGGTTTAGGGTTTAGGGTTTAGGGTTTAGGGTTTAGGGTTTAGGGTTTAGGGTTTAGGGTTTAGGGTACCCTGGAAGAGGGAAACCTGTCCGAATTTCTTGGTATATCTACCCTGTTTAGCACGGCAGGGTTCAAAGCTTACGGTGTATGGTTTGGACTGTAGCTGGAATCCCGTAAGCCCGAAAATAGGAAAATGTATCATCATGGTTTGCGCAGGTTGTGCATGTCTCTTTCTTAACGGTATGCAGGTTTCTCAAGTCGTAATAGCCTTGTTCCTTTGTTTCGGGTTCCCTTCTGCTAAACCCGAAACCCTCATATCCTCGGAATCACGAAGTCACTGCTCACCAACCCGGCCCTAAACCCTAAGCCCTAAACCCTAAACCCTAAACCCTAAACCCTAAACCCTAAACCCTAAACCCTTAACCCTAAACCCTAAACCCTAAACCGCCCAAGGCCTCACAGCACATGACTTGGGGCGTGGTGGGGGGGAGGGAGGGATCCCTGGATTCCTCAGCGCGGCAGTCCTACACCCTAAACCCTAAACCCTAAACCCTAAACCCTAAACCCTAAACCCTAAACCCCCTCAACCTAAAGCCCTTGAACCTGCAGGTATCTGAGTGGGAAGAGAGTCTTAGAGCTGGGCAGCGGCACTGGTGCTTCGGCTCTTCGCACCATGAATCTTGGGAGTTACAGGGCTGAGGGTTTTGGGTTTTGGGTTTTGGGTTTAGGGTTTAGGATTTAGGGTTTAGGGTTTAGGGTTTAGGGTTTAGGGTGTAGGGCTGAGGGTTGAGGGTTTTGGGATTGGTTAAGGGTTCAGGGTTTAGGTCAGAAGGCTTGGGGGACTTAGAAGTGTTTAAGTTGTTGTTTCTTGGCAGAGTTCGTCGTCGGGGGTTGGGTGCTGGAGGGGCTCCAGGGCTTCGGGTTGAGGGTGTATGGCTCCCTAAACCCTAAACCCTAAACCCTAAACCCTAAACCCTAAACCCCAAACCCTAAACCCTAAACCCTAAACCTTTAGGGTTCAGGGTTTAGGGTTTGGGAACCGATACCCCAGAAACCCTAAGCTAGGCCATCCTCGGCACTTCAAGTTACATGACCCTTAGCCTCAGGGCCCCGCCTAGGTGATTCAGGGTTTAGGGTTTAGGGTTTGGGGTTTAGGGTTTAGGGTTTAGGGTTTAGGGTTTAGGGTTCCTAAACCCCGCCCCTAAACCGGCGCGGAAGATCCCTGGGTACTTGATCAGCCTGAAAGCAGCCTTTCTTTAAGGCGGCCTGGCTCCTTCTACCTTAGTGCATATGCATTGGGATGGTTCCCCTTATGCTAACAGTCATAAATAGGGATTATAGTACACCTATTTTAATCCCTATTAAGGACTGGTAGCAAAAGGGCGAACATCCCAGCATCATCTACATGTGGTCATCCACCACCCACCTAAACTGCCCGGATTTGGTTCAGGGCTCTTTACAATCGTCATGTTCTTCGATTATAGTTGTATGCACGGAGGCCTTTGTGTTGTGAACCGCCTATGCTTTGCAGGATCTCATCCAGCTTTGAATATGTGCCGTTGTTGTCCTTTTGGGATATCCTTTCCTTATTTTGGGTGTTTAGGAATTTGTACGTATACTCAAACTAAAGATGTGGGCTTATAGGATTAGATTCAGGAATATTTCAGAGGTTGTTAGACAAGATGTAGACTGTTTCCGCATGACTTCTTATGTTCAAACATAGCAAATCTTATGTTAAACATAGCAAGTTATTCCCACAGCAATCGATCCCGAGTCCCTATCACCATCCCAAGAAGAATAGACCTTTTGCTGTTTTTGACGAAGCACGGGGCTCCTGCAGCATTTCATAGCTTGGCGAAGTTGTTAGCACGAGGTTGATCTAGAACTTAAGCGGAAACGCGGACCTCTCATAAATCCTTAGCTGAAGCAAGAGGTCCTTAAATCGGCAAAAGAAAGCCCTTCGGCTTCTTCATGCAGAGAAGGCAAAAAGTGAGAGCTTTCCGTGTTTGCTACATAGAAATGACACCGCCAGTTTTTCCCTACACCTGACACGTCTTCAAATCTAAGGTTGAACCGTGGGCGCTTAGTATGGTCCCCTACCGTTGTTTATTGGGATCCGGAGTATGGGCCCTTATTACGCATACAGTGTATCTAAGGGTATACAACAGGGGGCCCTAAACCCTAAACCCTAAACCCTAAACCCTAAACCCTAAACCCTAAACCCTAAACCCTAAACCCTAAACCCTAAACCCTAAACCCTAAACCCTAAACCCTAAACCCTAAACCCTAAACCCTAAACCCAACCCTAAACCCTAAACCCAAAACCCTAAACCCTAAACTTCGGATCCCCTAGCAAAGGCGCCGCCGGACTCGCCGCGGCGTCCCTCGGCGCCGCCGTGACGCTCACGGACCTCCCACAGGCTGCCATCATACTTGCTATAGCATTGCTAGCCTTGTTGTTAGGGTTTAGGGTTTAGGGTTTAGGGTTTAGGGTTTAGGGTTTAGGGTCTAGGGTCTAGGGTCTAGGGTTTAGGATCCTTCTTCTTAGTAGTGGAGTATGTAACCTGTAACCTTTTGTGGGGCCTCATAGTCCCTATATAATCCCAAAGGTTAACCTTTACTTCCCAACTAAGTCTTGTTAAGATGGGCATTTCCCATTATAGGGTGCCCCTATATACCCCAAGATAGTATATTTCTCATTCTAGGGAGCCCCCAAAATGGGTACCCCCTAAACCCTAAACCCTAAACCCTAATCCCTAAACCCTATTTCGGAAACCCCCATATGGGCATTTCCCGGAAGAGGCATCTGATGTTGCTGTGCGTATTCCCCCTGGTTCTCAGTCGGGAATCAGGGAATGAGGGCTCTATATCTACCCTTTAAGGGTAGATATGGGGCCCTCATTCCCTCCTTCCCTACTAAGCACCAGGGGGACTTAGGTGACGCCAGTTCTTGTGTTTGGGAGCGGGTCTCATTCTTAAGACTGGCCATGGTCTAAACTTACTTCTCCAACAGCTGAACTTCAATTGCACTTTTTGGGTTTCCTTGCTTAGCAGGAATAATAGAGTTCCATTTTTTTTTCCCTCTTGGTTGTTGGAGAAGTAAGTAAACGGGTTTCAAGGGTCTTTTGGCCGAGCTTGCGGCATGCGCATCCCGGGCTTCTGTGCTCTGTCTCTCTGTGTGTCCCTAAGGGTCCATGTAGCTACCTAGTCTGCGCGTCTGTGTGTGTGCGCGCGCGTGCGCGCGCGCCACAAGGCCGGGGTCCTGTTCATTTCAGAAACTGGGCTTCGAGGGTGTTGGGGAGCCAGAAGCCCCGTAATCCAGAACAGTTGCCAATGATATCTCCCTCCTAATCCCCACACCATTCTTGCTGTAGTATGGTACAAAATGCCCAAGTGTCCTTTCTAGCCTTAACAAGCAGGCCGCTTTCTCACAGTAACAACCCA